CCCATCTGTCAGTAACAGGCTTGTATTGCTTTGGCTATTCAGATATAGGGATAGTTGAGGAGTGTGTTATGGAAAACTGGGGTTTTTTGGCAGGTGAGTAAAACAACCACAGAAGTTTTTCTAAAGCTAAAGACTGTATTAGTAATGACAGACACTTTCCTCTCCTCTCAGGCACCTGAATTCTAATAATATTTCTTCCAAATTTTACAGCTATGCAATGAGCAGAGAATTTTGCCATCAGCACACTGTGAAAAAGGCTGCACAATACATTTGCATGAAGATATGATATTCTTGGAGTATAGCTTAAGTGAAGCTGCATGCAGAGGGGATCAAAGAGGTGAGAAATTCTTATTTTGGCCATATTAAAGTCAATATAAACACTGTGCTGGTGTTGTAAATATATATACGAAAACAATAAAAGGTTGGGGTAGATCTCTGAACAAAACCAAAATAACCCATCAGCTGTGCTTATGTATTATGGATACATTCTAAAGACCATTGCTCTGTGGCACCAGACAGTGCTGTAGGCGTCAAATGAAGTTATGAATTCCATTCTTATTCTAAATTTCTTTTACAGTGTTGGAAAAAGACATTCACCACTTCATCCTATGTCAACTTTAAGACATAACTGTGCAGTCAACCTATCCTTCAGGTAAGCACACAGCTCACAGAAGAGAGGGCCTGAAGAGCTGAGTAACACTTTCAAAACAAAAGTGAGAGCTTTCAAGATTTGTTTTGCATACTTTGAGATTTTCTTACAAACTTGTACCTTAAAGGATTTCACTATGTGTAATGAGACAAATTACTTATACTTGTAGGACCATGTGTCATTTGGGACAGAAATCAGCTAAGTTTAAGTGGTTGAAACTGGCTTTTTCTGTTTTGCTTCTGTTTGAAGCAAATTATGCTTTGCTTTTTTTCGATTTCACTTCTGTTATGATACTGAATGTTTGGAATACTCAGAAGTCTTTAGATAAAAGATACTGCAGCAGAGCAGACTATGGTTATAACTGATGCTTATTTAGTTATGTTCAACTAATGGCTTTGCCACAGACCTTTCAAGTGATCTTGTTCAATTAAATTAAGTTCTGTGTCAAATGGAGATACTGGAGATCACTTCCATTTTCTGTTTGCTGTTTATTTAGCCTGTTGGGTATTTAATTGTAATATCGTGGTTGTCACATATACGACAATGGCAAAGTGAAGCCATTGATCTTGAATTGGGCCTGAAAACAACGCTGCAACATAACAAAGTTAATAGTTTGACATGGTGATGCTAGAACTTGGTGCGTATGTTTTAAGTGAGGGGACACCTGGTCCTCCATAATCTGAGATATCCTCTGGTCAAGGAGTTTTAGTTAAATTGGTCAGGTGAGATCTTCTCCTTTGTATCAGGCCCTGTTCCACCAGGGACTATATAAGCAGTAACTTGAGAATTTATGGTCATCAGAAACTTCCTTGAAGATTTTTTTGTATAGCGGAAATCTCTACTTTCTTCATGGTGCTGATGAAAGCCTGCCTGCAGCAGTAGCTCTGCCGTTCTCTACTCTGAAGTGCCTTTCCTCTCCTGCTGCTGCTGCTTTCCCAGCCACCCACTGGTGGGGTTGAGTGGGATGGAGAGCTGGAAGGGTTGCTGCAGAAATGGGAGGCATGGTAGAATCGAACTCTGACATTCTTTATATCAAATTAAAATCAAGTGCTGTTATTTAAAGATACCCTCCTGCCAGGTGTAGATTGGCCCAGGACTAAGCTGCTGAGAGTGCTGGGGACAATTAAAAAATTTAACTCAAACCTACCAGAATTTAAATTCAAACCATCTTTGCTTTGCCTGCAAATGACCATAGCATCCTTGGCAGCAGCTGTGCAGCCCGTAGGCAAAGTTCTGCTGTTTGCATGGCCGTGCCAGGAAAGTGCTCCTTAGCCTGAGAGGAGGCGCTGGGCCGTGGCTGTGCAGAGCTCTCTGTAGAGCCCCCTTGGCCCTGTGTGTATGGACGGAGAACAGCTGTGAACTGCTGACTTGGTGCATGAGAGGGCTATAGAGAGATAGTCATATGTGGAACTATTTCATACTCATCACTGTTTTGTGAAGTGTTTAATCATACCACCACACATAATGCATGGAATTAATAACTTCATGTGATGTCCTTTACACCTGAGCAGCTAAACAGGCTTTTTTGGAAGAATGTATTAGATATACATCATATGACCATATATCACCTAGGCACTGTCACACTGAAGCTTTACAGTTAAAAATTACAAGAAATATCTTGGACAACTCAGGCATTATTTTAGAAATGTGAGGCACCCATTCTGTGTTCCTAGTACAAGGTTCACTGGTTGTTTACAGTTAAGCGCTGTTAACCAATCTAAATATTGTACAGTATGGGAAACATTCACTACTTGCAAGTCTCTGTTTTCATATAATGCCCAGGTTATAGTTTCAGGAACAAGTCAGTACCTATGAATGCTTCATATTACATAATCGAACCTCAACATCCAAGGCAACGCAAATCTTGTTTTAATACTTCAGTTCTGATCTTACTTATTATTTTTTACTTTTCTCTTGCACACTTATAGATCTTTCTCTATTAGGAAGCTGAGATGCAGGCAATGTTTTTTGCTGCTAGCGGTGCATAATAATTACCAGAAACAGAACTCCAGCAACAGTGTTACTGAGTCCATTTTGTTAGCTGAAGTATAAGTGTGCTTTGTTACTTCTTAAAATATATATGCTTGTATATGTATATAAAAATAGTCTCTCTTAATTATTGCAGAAATATCTAAGTTGCTGTTACTATCAATACTTCATGGATATTGTGGTAACAGCTGATTTTAGAGCACTGATGGTGGCAAAACAGTTCCACATTGAACCAAAATTACACGTATTCTCAGGATACCAGTGTGGAATTGCACTGAACTCGTGGAGTTCTCAATCCTCTAGTTCCCAGAGAGGGCCAGGGTAGGTAATGGAAGGAACTCTATAAATCAAGGGATTTCTGAGAGGAAAGTCACTCTGTAGCTGACTGCTAAAGTACTCAAGAGTCTGGCATCTCTTGTGCATTACAATTGAGTAGTTGGCATATTATTCACAGTAGGAGACACACAATATTGTCCCTCTTGATGCGTGATGCCACAAAGACATCTACTAATGAGGAAGTTTGCTGCTTGGACATGAGTTGTGATAAGCATTTGCAACCTGAGGGGAATGGATGATAAAACCATACGCTTATGCGCCAAAGATACAATAGGAAAGAGACAGTCTATCAGTCACGTGAATTGTGATTGGCCTGTTGCAATGGAATAGCCTTTAACAAAAAAAAATGAAAGCTATTTACCTTCTGAATGGATTTTACATAGTTGCACAAAAGGGAAAAGAAATAAGAAGAGAGAAGAGAAGAGAAAAGAAGAGAAAGATTCCCACCAGCTCTTCCCCTCCAAAATTAGCATTGGCATTGGTGAAGTCACACACAAAGGAAAGTCTCACTTTCTTTGTGCCTATCACAATGACATCAACATGCATGGCTATGAGATGACGAGAGAATACCTCACTCACAATGAGTAACAAATTAGAATTTTCTTCAAAGTAAAAAAATGATAACACAAGACCATCATAGGTATATGCTAGCTCTTTCAAAACATCTCTTTTAGCCTAGGTGTCAGTTAAAATCACTTGGCTGGCGATCTGTTCTATCTAATACGACATAGGGGGATATTCTGAATAGGCTGAAGAATGTCTACTATGCAACTTGACTGGAACATCTGCCAAAAATGAAGTTGGCTTTGTTTTCAACATGGTTATCTACTTTGAAATTACTCCATAGAATAAATAGTGATATTCCACGGGTAGAGGTAGATTATGGGGTTTAAGTAATCAAATTGGAGCCCCGTAACTTCATGTGCTATAGGAGGATTCTCATAAAACTGAGATATTCCCATAATTAACCACTAGCCATGGGATATTATAATATATTCCATGGTGACTAGTATTTTTTCCATTTCCCTCCCCCCTCCCAGTAGAATTAGTATGATTAATTTTGCTCTGGTTTCACCTATTGCTAACATGAATCAATATAACTAAAAATAAGAATACCATGTTATGAGGCAATCACTGTTTAGGCCGAACAGGCCATCCATGACCAGTCAGACCTTTTCCAGTTGGCCTTTGCTGCTAGAAGGTTGAAAGAGCTGTAACTCACCAACCCATACTTGCAAAAGGAGAATGTTTTAGAAAATGTGGTTCAAAACTCTTCATAGTTCTAAATGCTGAATTCTAGTGGAATATTATAGGATATATTGATTTACATGCCATGGAATAAACATCCTTACAGCTAGTGTTGTCTCAGAGTGAGTCATTTTGCATTAGTGTCAAGAATTTGAGCTGCTGTTCTACTTTGCAGTTAATCATCAGAAAGAAACGGGATTGTCTCATGAATATGCATGATGGTATAGTTGTCCCTTCAACTTACTAGGCACCTAGTTTCTGTAATGAGATGTACAATATCTGCCATTTAAAACAGCTGAAAGGTCCCAAATGGGAACAAATGAGAAAGCATCTGGCTGCTTCAAATTCCAGCCCTGTTTTGTCAGAAAACTCTGTAATTGCTGAGTACTTGGCTCCTACTCTGCTCTATGAAGCATTCAGCTCTCAGGAGCCTCTGAGATGCATTACACAGTCCAGCAACATAGCTGTAGAGCTCTCAAAATTCTTCCACTAGATGTAACAGCTCTTCAAAATATCTTGAGACTTGCATGCTCTTAACCAGGACCAAAGTTTGGGCTCCTAGAGCGTGCTCTCATCCTTAGTTTTGCTGATCAGCCTCCACTGTACCATTTGTCCCTGCAACCTAGACTTCACACATATTATTCACTGTGTGATGGTGGGACTAGAATGGATAAATGTGCTACCCATTGCTCTAAGAAAGCAGTCTGGCTGAATCTTAAATCACTACACGGGATGGAGGTTAACGGTCAGATGGACATTCCTCTAAGAGGTTTCCTACCTGCTCTGTTAATTTCTAAAATTTCTTCTTGGGCCAGTGGGCAAGTGTCGCTCTGAGTACTGTGGTGTGGAGAGTTTACAACAGATTTACAATAATTGGGGGATCCCAGCTGGGGTGGCCTCGGGATATGCTTCTTTTTTTTCTTTGGTAGCTTCTGCTTAGCCATAGCTAAGGAGTAATACATTCCGAAATTGTTCACAATGACAGGGACAGGCATGGCAATGGTCAGCACACCAGCGAGAGCACAGAGGGCCCCCACCAGCATGCCTGACCAAGTCTGAGGATACATGTCTCCGTAGCCCAGGGTCGTCATGGTGACAACAGCCCACCAAAAGCCGATGGGGATGTTTTTAAAGTGTGTGTGTTCACTGGCACTAGGGTCATTTGGTTTAGCACCTATTCTCTCGGCATAATAGATCATCGTGGCAAAGATTAAGACGCCCAATGCCAAAAATATGATGAGCAGCAAGAATTCGTTTGTGCTGGCGCGGAGAGTGTGTCCCAAGACCCGCAACCCAACGAAGTGACGGGTCAGCTTGAAAATTCGCAGGATTCGCACGAAACGGACTACACGGAGGAAGCCCAGGACATCCTTAGCAGCTTTGGAAGACAGGCCACTGAGTCCAACCTCTAGATAGAAAGGCAGTATGGCCACAAAGTCAATGATGTTCAAAGAGTTTTTGATAAATTCCACCTTGTTTGGGCAGAAAGTGACTCTCATCAAGAACTCAAATGTAAACCAGACCACACAGACACCTTCGATGTAGGTGAGAAAGGCTTCAGTCTCTGCTTCCCTGTAGTGCCGCACCTGGGTGTCATTCCCGATGAATTCAGTTTCTGTCTTGTTCACAATGGGGTTAAATCTCTCATGGGTCTCGAGGCAGAAGGTGGTGATGGAGACCAGGATGAAGAAGAGGGAGGCAAATGCCACATACTGTGGAAAGAAAGATATGAGAGAAGAGTTAAACAGTAGGTAAATATACAGGGGCTTTGATTCTGAAGCACCAGGGAGAGACAAGAGCTGTATTAAAACTAAAGATAATGCAAAGCCTTTTTCCTGTGGGCTTAAGATGCCAAGTCTCACCTGAAAAGACAGCCTAACATTCAAACTTGGAGGGAGAGCAGTATGTAAGTACCTGCTAACATCCATTCCTATACAGATAGCACTTTAGCGTGAGTGTAAATTTAGCAAACAGTTAAATCCCAGAGCTTTCTGTGAGATTTAAGGTTGAGGACCTACTGAAATTCTACCTTCCTGAGCTTGATCTTCTGTTACCTCCTGGTCTTCAAGATAGAGCACAACTTCTAGGACAATTGTCATGCAAGAGCGTTTTCACAGGACTGTGTCAGTGGTATGGTGGCTGCCTCCTGCTCCCAGCTGAGCAACAGCTGCGCTATTTCAGATCTCAGTAAGGTGCTAGGAAATACTAGCGGCAGTCTCAGGTGGGCTGTGCTGCAAGGAGCAGAGTCCTGCTTGGCATCATCAGACTTTCTTGCCATCAGATCTCAGTAAGGTGCTAGGAAATACTAGTGGCAATCTCAGGGACAGGTTGAGGAACAGTCACATACCAAACCAAGCTCTCCTAAACATCTCTGTTCTCAATTCCCTCCTCCAGATCTTTTGGGGGCGGGGGACAGGAAGGGGAAGAAAGAGGTTTCATGTAAGCCTGTGAGCTCATCCAAAAATACACAGATTTATTGGATTTCACCAGACAAGGTTTTCTTGAAGAGATTCTCATTGCAATGTAAGACTTGTACCAGAACTAGATGAATCTTTTTTAAGACTGTTGGATTACAATTTGGTGAATCAAGTTACAGTGAAGGTGGTAGCAGCCCTCAAAATCAATATTTGTTTATCTTAGGAGTATTTGCCTCTTCTGCTTCAGTTCTTGCTTTTCATAGAATCATAGAATGGTTTGAGTTGGAAGGGACCTCTAAAGGTCATCTAGTCCAACTCCCCTGCAATGAGTGAGACATCTTCAACTAGATCCGGTTGCTCAGGGCCCCATCCAGTCTGACCTTGAATGTTTCCAGGGATGAGGCATCCACAACTTCTCTGGGCAAACTGTTCCAGTGTTTCACCACTCTCATCATAAAACATTTCTTCCTTACATCTAGTCTGAATCTATCCTCTTTTAGTTTAAAACCATTACCCCTAGACCTATTGCAACAGGCCTTACTAAAATGTCTGTCCCTATCTTTCTTATAAGTCCCCTTTAAGTATCGAAAGGCCACAGTGAGGTCTCTCCAGAGCCTTCTCCTCTCCAAGCTGAACAACCCCAACTCTCTCAGCTTTTCACAGGCTTTCCTCAGCCTAAAGGAAATCTCCTGGTTGTATTCCAGGATAATTGAGGGGTACAGACAGGCTACAATTCACAACTCTTGTAACCACAGTTCCTCTGCTCAATCCTCATTTAATCAATTAAGTAGTCTGCATATATCTAAGAAGTCTCTTTATGTATTGGAGTGGTACAGTTATGGTACAGTAATGGTAATACTTCTTTCCATTTCACTCCCTACATCTGTTATCTTCCTGTTTGTCTTCTGTATCACCTTGACAAGAGACATCTCGTAAGATATTATTTCGCTATCTTCATGAGCATGAGCAACTGTGGCAATTAAAATATTACTCAAATATTCTTATAGTGTCCTGTTATTCATAATGTCCCCTTTTCAGCAGTGTAGCCAGAATAAGGGCTAAAAGAACTAGTTTCTTCTAATTGTCTCTTGCCAGTAAATGCAGTGCAATAATCTAAAAGAGATTGCTGCCAAAAGAAAGACCAGTTAAAAATAAGCTATGCTTCAAGCCACCAAAAGTCCTGCAATTAAGAAGTTCCTCCTGTCTGCTTTCCTGGGTAGACCTAATGCAGAATTACGCTTGACCTTCTGTATTAGCAAAGTCAAAAGCAAGGATCTGCCACAGTTTGAGGTGAACCATTTAATAGAATGCAGAGAATAGAACCACAGAACCTTTTAGATTGGAAGGGCCCTCTGGAGTTCATTTGGTACAGCTTCAAAGTTGGACCAGGTTGCTCAGGGTCTTGTCCAGTCCAGGTCTGAATGTGTCCAAGGCTGGAGATCCCACAGCCTCTCTGGGCAGCCTGCGCCAGTGTTTGACCAGTAAGAGCAAATAAGCTTGGAAGAATACAGAAGCAAACAGGCTCTTCTGCTTTTCCAATCCAATTTTATTGCAAAAGAGGTCATAACCTAGCCATTGTCACAGATTTAAAAAAAAAACAAACAGTACCTTCTCCTAAATGCTTCAGGTTATCATAGCATTGTTACATGATGATCTAATATATGTGCTGATATGTGCTAAAATCCGTGTCTCAGATAAATAGTTGTCTGGAATATAACCAATCTGGAGGTTAGGAAAATTGAGAAGCAGTACTGCAGATATTTTTTTATCAGATTCTCCTGTTAAACAGAGAAATTTCTCCATGCAGGGTTTCTCTGTCTGTAAAATAGGTTAAAAAAAAATACCAGCTGGTGTTTGTCTTGTGCTTTGTGATCCTAGATAAATGTTTACAGGTTCTATATGTTTTCAGTCATACTGACTTTATATCAACAGTGTCCCTGAAAAATAAGTTGAAGAATCGTTTAAGTGGTCAAAGTCAGTTTGTGTATGATATTGTTAACACTCTGAGCTTAATTAAGTAGAGGTTAATACCCCAATTATCTGGTATGAGTAAAATGAGCAACAAAAAGCATCTTGCACCAAGAACTCAGGAAAATGTTCCTAGCAGCCTCAGCACATCTGCTTTATTTCAGCCTGGAGCAGATTTTTACCATAGAGTTGTGGAGCCTTGAGAATTCAAGCTGCAAAAGGAAATGCTGACACGTCGTTAAGTCAGGTAGCGTTCTGAGATAAGGAGCAGAGAGGGGAATAAAACCATTTTGCATTTAAAGGGTTCCATGAAGAAGGCCCCTTTCTTTATGCTGACTCAAAATGCAATTCTCCTCTTGGTTTATATGAATGTGTCTCCTGAGTGAGTTTTTCCTGCTTAGGACAACCTTCAGGCTGACCTTGCACAGCAAGTGTCTTGAAAAGGGATGTTTTGCTGTATTAAAGGGAAGAAATAACCAATTCTGCCAGGACATTGAAGTTCTCTGCAGCGGTACATGCTAGCAGTGTTATCAGTAGAGAACATCACGCCCATGACCACTCTTCCTGTTAGCCCTTGTGTGTGCACACCTTGGCTTTAGAGGGGAACTGAGAACTTTCATTCCCCAGATCAGCAGAGCAGGAAGCATCTGCTAAATGAAAGTGAAGAGTTTGCTTTCTTCTATCTGTATGGAACAAAATCCAGAGCCCTTTCCCAGGGTGGGCATGTTCTTGAATGCTTTGCAGCTTTGGAAATGTGGATCTGCTTTCAAGATTTCATAAAACCATGTCTAATGTTAGGGATTGGAAGGGACCTCAAATTTGACAAGATGACTGCCAGTATTTCTTCTCTAATTTTCTTTTTTTTTTTCTCTGTTGAATTACTATCTAAACCTAAAACCTCTTTTATATTTGGGAACTAAAAATCTTCTTAGCCGTTCCACGCTTCAATGTTGAAAGACCCTTGGTTTTTGTTTTAGAAGAAAGTCTGCACAGACTGAAGGGAGAAGACAATGGAAAGCAGCCTTTTAATAGAGGCCCCATTACAGTTCCCTACTCCCTTGGGCTGATCCAAAGTAGTAGGGAAACGACTGAGAATCAGGCCTGACAATTCGGTCACTGGCACCCATCTCTAGTAGATTGATCACCTGCAGCTGCTTGGGACACAGAAATTTAGCAGCTTGCCAAAAATGAATGCATAATATATGACTGGCATAAATTTATGTTTGTGATTCCCAATTTATATTGCCCCCACCTCTTTTTTCTTCTGACTATTTTTCTTTGTTAATTATCTGATATAAGATCTAGCAAGCTGTAAGCAAAACCCACTAGCACCAAATTCAGCGAGTATGTTTTTCTAAGGAGACCATCATTCATTCATGCCAAAGGGGTCAAAAAAAGAGCATTCTCTGGCCCATCATCAGAGGCCAGCAGAGATTGGCCATCATGCCTAACACGATAGGTTGTCAAGTCCAGAGATGAGCAATGCTGGTAAAATCTAGTGAAGGCTATGCAACTCGTACGTGTTCTAACATCTTGGAAAATAAGGCTATCTCTTTTTGTTTCACTAATAATGGCCTGAACACTAATCAAACCAATGGATTGCTCTTATATTATTTAGTGGTTCTTAATCTTCTTTCTCCTTACATTTTACAACAGAATTTCTCTTCTTCCTAGGATCTGAATGGGCTGGCGGAGAGAAGTGAGGATTTTATGAAATGATGTCATGTGATGTTGAGTTACATAATGACAGCTAAAATTTTCTATAATTAAAGAAAATACCTAGGTAAAGTGTTTGAAGTAATCAAAACTCTTATCTGCTTTGACATGTGAATGATTCCTATTTCGCTAGAGATGTGGCTGCCATTGCTTTTTTTCTGGCTCTAAAACCAACAAATTAAAATCTCAGATTGTCCAAAACCGCAGAAGCCATAAGAGAAGGCAGAGACTTTTAAAAGGGGATATTTTGATTAAAATATGTTACATTAAAATGCCTTGATTCTGGAGAGAAAAGAAATTACCCTTCTGCATAATTTCTGTTAATAGCGGATATATTTCAATAAGGTTATTCTGAAAGAGTCTAAAAGACGTCATGCCCATAAGTGGAGAATATCATCATCTAATTTATATTGCCTCTGATTAAATCTCTCTCTCTGTCTCTCTCTCAGGCCTGCTTCTCCACTGCCCTATGTCTAACCTCGCCATTTTTGCCAGTGCAGTGTGAATATGAAGTGCCAATTAATTCAGAATAGCAGTGTTTCACATCAGCTTTGCATAGCTGTAAAAGGAGCAAGGTACCAGAATCAGACCTAGCCTCTCTTGAATAATGA